CCGGCGGCGGCGGTACCAGCTGGGGGTTAACATCGCCTACATATTTCTTCAACAATGAAACGTGGAAGACTGGGTGAATGCGAGCCGATGAAGGCAACTCCAACCTGTAGGCGACGGCTCCAACTCGCTTGAGGATACGGTATGGAACAAAATATCGAGCGGAAAGCTTTTGAGAAGCTCGGCGGAACACGGTCGACTGCCGGTATGGGTGAAGTCTCACAAGAACCCATTCTCCTTCGTCGTAGTTGACGTCCCGCCGACTAGCATCAGCGAGCTGCTTCACCTTGTTGTTTGCCGCAACCAGATTCTGGCGAAGGCAAGCTAAAGCTTCATCCCGCTCCTTGAGAAGCTCATCAACACCAACTACTGTACAGGACCCATCCGAATATGGAACCACAGAAGGTGGGGGTCGGCCATAGAGCGCCCGGAATGGGGTCGTCCCAATCGTACGGTGATATGTTGAGTTGTACCATAATTCGGCCCATGGAAGGAGTTGAACCCATCTTCGCGGATGTTGCTGCGTGAAACATCGCAAGTACTGCTCTAGACAGCAATTGATCACCTCCATCTGACCGTCTGTTTGTGGATGACAGGCTGTGCTCATCAAGATTTTCGTGCCCACTTGATCGAACAGCCCCTGCCAGAACTTACTCAAAAATACTCGGTCTCGGTCACTGACAATTGTTACTGGAATCCCATGGTGTCGCACTACTCAAGAAATGAAAGCCTCGGCCACCGTCCGAGCTGAATACGGGTGAGAGAGAGCCATATAATGCCCATACTTAGTCAACCGATCCACCACGACGAAGAGAACCGAGCGACCCTCCACCTGCGGCAAACCCTCGATGAAATCCATGGATATCTCCTCCCATATCTGGCGCGGAATCGGGAGCGGCTGCAGTAGTCCCGCCGGTACCACCCCTTCCGTTTTCACTAGCTGGCAAACATCACAAGCCCCGATGTAGTCCTTAATGGTCTGCACCATCCGTGGCCAATAGTAAATCCCGTTAATGCGTCGCAGGGTTCTCTCTATCCCTGAATGACCTCCCAGAACCGAGTCATGATGGGCATGGAGGACAGTCGTGATAAGTGACGATCCCGGTGGAAGAACAATGCGACCCTTGAAGAACACAAGGCCATGCCGATACTTGTAGTCACCCGGATCGGTCGATAATGCCTTGTCACGCATAGCCTGCAAATATGAATTACTAGTGACAGCTTCGCGTACTTCATCCCAGAAGGTGAACTCGGCCGCAGTCAAGGAGTACAAGGATTCCTCATGTCGCCGCTGTGAAAGTCCATCCGCGGCCTTATTAGTGACGCCGGGTTTGTAGTGAACCTTGAAATCATAAACCATTAATTTTACCACCCACTTATGCTAGTCGGGAGTAGAAACTCGTTGTTCGAGCATATGACGCAAACTCTGTTGATTGGTGTGAATATGGAATGTCTGCCCCAGGAGGTATGGTCGCCATGTTTGCACGGCCATAACAATGGCGTACATTTCCTTCTGATAAGTTGACTAGCCTATCTTCACGGGCCCCAAGGTGCGACTCATGTAAGCAATCGGATGCCCGCTTTGAGAGAGAACCGCACCAATGCCCTATCCTGACGCGTCAGCTTCAATGGTAAAGGGTTCTGTGAAGTCAGGCATTGCGAGCGTGGGTGTCAAAGTCATGGCGCGTTTCTGTCCAGTCGAAGCCTGCTCGGCTGCTTCTGTCCATTCGAAGCCCCCTTTCTTCAGCAGCATAGTCAACGGTCGAGCAATCGAGCTGTAATTTTGGACGAATTTGCGGTAGTAGCCGGTCAGCTTCAAAACCCCCTGTAGCTCCGAGGCGTTACGGGGGCTCGGCCAGTCTACCATAGCCTGAATTTTCAAATTATCCACCTGCACTCCCTCGGGCGTGATGATGTGACCCAAGTACTCGACTCTCTGATGAGCGAACACACATTTGGCGTGCTTGAGGTAGTACTGGTGGCTTCGCAAGATGACGAAAACCTCGTGAAGGTGCTGCAAGTGAGTTTCCCAATCTCGGCTAAAAATTAAGATATCTTCAAAAAAAAAAAAAAAAAACCAGGACAACTTATGTAGGAGATGTCGAAAGATGTCGTTCATAGCAGCTTGGAAGGTGGCCGGAGCGTTGCACAATCCAAAGGGCATGACTACATACTCATAATGGCCGCTGTGGGTTCGGAAAGTCGTCTTAGGAATGTCCTCCTTACTCATACATATCTGATGGTATCCCGCACGTAAATCAAGCTTCGTAAAGTACCTTGCACCATGGAGTTCGTCCAGCATGTCGTCTACCGTAGGGATGGGAAACCGGTCCTTGATGGTGGCTTGGTTTAGAGCTCGAAAATCAGTGCAAATCAGCCAAGTACCATCCTTTTTCTTGACGAGAAGGACGGGTGATGAGAAGGGGCTCGAACTCAGCTGAATAAGCCCGGTCCGCAGCATGTCTCCCACTTGACGTTCTATTTCCTCCTTCTGGTAGTGGGCGTAGCGGTATGGCCGCACGTTGATTGCGTCCGTCCCTTCTTTCAGTGGAATGCGATGGTCAGAAGTTTGATGGGGAGGTAATTGTGTCGGGGTTTCGAATAAATTGGCGTACCTCCCTAGAAGCTCTTGCAATTCGGCCGGAGATTCCGTTGATGCCACCCCTTGGTCGGGAACGCAGAGAGCCCAGAATGCTACCTCTCGTCGTCGCAGCTGATGAAGGTGGTCGTCCTTCACGATAGTCTTCCGGTTCCCCTGAAGTTCAACCCAGCGGTCATTATCGTCCATGAACTTTAGCGTCAAACGGGTCCAGACGATGGTGACCGGCCCTAGCTATCGTAACCAGCGAATGCCCAGCACAACGTCTAGACCTTTGATGGGCAACTCATACAAGTCCACTCGCATCAGCTCTCCTTGTATGCGCAGCTCGACAGCCTCATAGCAATGCTCGCAACGCAACACATCGCCATTCGCGACCTTGACTGAAAACAAAGGTATGGGAGTCGGAGTCAGCAGCAATTCCTTGGCCGTGTCGCGGTTGATGAAATTGTTCGATGATCCGCTGTCGACTAGCGCCACCATCGTCTCCTATTGCAGCTGAATGGAAAATCGTAAGGTTGCTGGTGAGAGACACCGGTAAAGGCGAACAGGGAGACCTCGCCATCCGTCGGATCGGGATCCAGGTCCTGCGGTTCTCTTGCTCACCGGAGCCGATGCGCGGGCTGCCGTCGTCGTACGTTCGTCTCCTCGGAATCCGCTTCGGTGCATGTCCCTGGGAGCTGGTAGGAGCTCGGTTCCGTCGAACCGGGCTCTGATACCAATTGATGGACGATCAGTTCGTCCATCGCGTAAATCGTAACAAAGTAAAAGTAGACTGGAGTTTAGGAGTTTTCTTCTTGTACTTCTCTTATTCCTCAAACCAATACTTATAGTATTCTTACATACTTGCATAATACGAAAGGAAAAACCTAAACAACAAGGAAAGGGAAAACCGAATAATAATTAATAATTAGTCTAGATACTTTGGGTTGGGCTTGGGTTGGCGGTTGGATCGACGCGAAATGGCTTCGTACCCATCACACGATCAGTAACAGCAGTAACACCCCATGTTTTAAGGTTATCTCTCGTCTTAAAACGATCAAGGATAACAATCCATGTAATGAAACGATTCCTTGGCAGTACAAATTTACCCCAGAGAATCCTCCACCAACGAACCTCGGGGTTTTTTATTCTGATAGTTTCCCAAATGGTTGAAACAAAAAACTTTGGCATTTTCTTTCCAAGCTAGAGCACATTACTAGTCTCATCAAGATCAATTTTGAATTTGAACCAAGGTCTGAGTTTCATTAATTGACGCCATATCCAGGATCCAGAGTCAGTAGATTTGACATCCTAGATTGAGTCCCCTCTCAACCTGTATCGAAAGCACCAAACCACCCAGAAACTACCACCCTGCATAAGAAGGAGCCAAATTATTCTACCCAAACAAGCCACATTCCAGGTAATTAATTAAATCCTTCAATCCAAGTCCCCCTCCTTCTTAGACCGAGCAATAGATTTCCAAGCAACTGTAGCTTTTCCCGCCCCATCTCCAAACCAGAGAAAATTAGAGCAGAGGCTCTGTATATTCTTAATCACTTTCTTCGGTATAATAAAAATTGCCATACAATAAGACTCGTAGAGTATTATAGAGTTGGCTATTGCAGGGAATGTGGATTTGCAGACTGATTTTCATGGGGTAAATACCTCATTTGGTCACTGAGATTACTAAATCATGTCATGTTTAGTCATTAGAAAAAATTAATATCAATTTTGGTTACTCAAATTATTGAAACATGTCACATTTAGTCACTCTCCCGTTAGATTTCGTCCAACTCCGTTAATGGAGTTGGGCGAAAACTAACGGGAGAGTGACTAAATGTGACATGTTTCAATAATTCGAGTGACACTCATAAAAAAAAGTAATTCGAGTGCCCGGAGTTGGACGGAGGCTAACGAGAAAGTGACTAAATGTGACCTGTTTTAGTAATTCGAGTGATCAAAATTAATATTAATTTTTTCTAGTGACTAAACATAACACGATTTAGCAATCACCGTGACCAAATGTTGGATTTACCCGATTTTCACGAGAGTGGTTGCTTGTACTTGTAGGAGTTTGAAGTGTTGGTAGTGTATATTTTAGTCATATATTGTAGATAGCATTTTATGTACATTTATGAGGGGAGTGTGGTTTTTCTCCCCTACCTTGAGCTTAATATTTTTTTTATTGTCCATAAAAAAGAAGACTCGTAGAAAATTGTTGCTCTCTTCCCAGGGGCTTGCTCTTTGCTTTCTTGAAAGAACAGACAGCTACATGATACACATGTCAGTTGCTTCACATTGGCAAAAACAATAAAACCAAAGCTTCTACTTTAATCCCTTCCCCATTTTATCAAATCATTACATCAAATCAAATGGCTATGTTAGAAAGGAAGATCGACCTCAACAATCAACAGCTTCAAGATCACGATTGCAGAGGCCTGAGGACGAGAGGGATTCCATGAGTAGGCCTCAATGAGAGCACGATGGTAGGAGAATGAACGTACGATGGAGACAAGGAAAAAGAGAACCTGGTGAGGATCATAGACAACACAATCTGGTACTCCATCATCGTCAGGTTCCTCCCGACGCACATCCTCCCTCCGAAACCAAACGGCATGAACCCCATCTTGTGCTTGCACCCTCCGTACAGAGGGTCGGCCTCGAATCTCTCCGGCTTGAACTCGTACGCGTCGTCCCCCCACAGCTTCGGGTCGTGGTGCATCGCCACCACGTCGATCCACATGTTGGTCCCCTTGGGTATCGTCCGGTCGCCGACGCGAATGTCCTCCTTGGCTTGCCTCTGCACGTTCGGCGCCGGCTACGGGTCGTGGTTACTGACATGTCAGTAATGAATAGGGACCATAGATCTAAGAGGTAGGCAATCGTGTGGTTGGGCCGGACGTTGAATGGAGAAGAGTATTTTTGTCCGTTTATATATTAAATTCTTTATTTTATTTTATTTCGTATTTAATGGCTGCACTTTTAAGGAAGGAAAGAGAAATCAGTTCTCTGCAACTTTCTATCTTCCTTCTCTCTTCCTTTTTCTCTCCCAATATCTTTTCCAGATCCTCTCTCTTTCTCTCTTCCTTTTTCTCTCTCAATCTCATTTCTAGATCTAAATCTGCTCCCTTCTCTTCTTCTTTATTTTTTTCATGACGAATAAAAATTGGAGCCACTCTTTTTCATTGCATTTCTTCTCTTCATCATCTCATTGGCCTCAATTTCGATCTTTCTCATTTTTTCGGCATTTTGGTGTTTTGATTGCGGAAGAGGAAATGAGAGGCGACACAAGACGATCTTTTTTCTCTACCTCCTTCTGTTTTTTTTTCTTTTAGATAATATATATTGATATTATAACTATATACCATATGGTATTCGGTGGTAACGAAATATATATTGATATTACCACACTATAGCATATGGTAATGTATGGTATTGTGTGGTAACGAACTATATATTGATATTACCACACTATACCATATGGTAATGTATGGTATTGTGTGGTAACGAATTATATATTGATATTACCACACTATACCATATGATATTGTATGGTATTGTGTGATATTACCACACTATACCATATGGTATTGGGTGGTAACGAAATATATATTGATATTAATTACCACATTATACCATATGGTATTGGGTGGTAACGAAATATATATTGATATTATCACACTATACCATATGGTATTGGGTGGTAACGTAATATATAATTGATATTACCATATTATACCATATGGTATTGGGTGGTAACGAAATATATATTGATATTACCACACTATACCATATGGTATTGGGTGGTAACGTAATATATATTGATGTGTTAAATTCTTTTCATACCATATGGTATGGTCAATATCAGTCAATACCATATGGTATAGACTGGTAATAACTGACAATTTTTTTTATGTCCAAAAAATATCAAAGTGGATATCATTTTGAAGAGCACAATTAATCTGATCTAACTGTGCAAAAAAATTAAATTTCGACTTAAAACGAGTGAGAAATCGTCTGTTAAAGATTAAGGGAAGGAAAATTAAATGTTTTGCGAGGAGAGAGAAGGCGCTGATGTGATCCGGTCAAAAGTCAGCCTCAGCAATAAATAGGAGAAAGTGTCATTTTACTGTACTGCCCTTTTCACATTTAATTTAAATAAAAAGTGTCTGACACGTGGGGACCATAGAAGGGGTTACTGATGGGTTACTGACCCATCAGTTACTGACCCGATCTGGACCCGCATGGCGGGGAATAGAAAATGAGAGATGGTTGATTAGACAAGTAATAGGTAGGCAGTGAGCAGCACCTTCAAGTTGGGAGCGGTGAAGGCCGGAGTGATGACGTGGCGGTGGCGAACCCATTCTTCTCCTTCGACCATGACCAGCCCATTGCCGAACATGGGCTCCCGGTCCTGCTTGAAAACTCTGGGCTTTCCCCAGCTCTTGCCCATTATTCCGGCGGACATTGCCTTGAGGAACTCCGGGTCGGCGATGTACAGGAACGGCTCCGTCCCTAACCAATACACAAACACCTTCCCTGCAAAACAAATATCATAAAAATAATATTCATCAGTTAGTTAATTACGTGGTGTGATGATTTCCTAAACCACATGGCCCCATGTGGTAATAATCTTTTGTTTTTTTAGCACGTACCGTAAACCACATGCACATATATTAATTTATGCAAGATGGACGTCCTTTAATGTTTTTCTTTTAAAAGAAAACAAAAAAGATGATAAATTATTACCGTGGGAGTTGTGCCACTGGGCAAAGTAAGGGAAGACGGCTGAGTGGATATCATGGGAAATTATGTCGGAAGAAGAGGTGGTTTGGCTGGTTAGGACGAGTTTTCTCATTTCCTGGATATTTCCGAGAGGGAAAGTGGGAGTTGGGCCGGCGAATCCGTTTCGCCGGAGCTGGGAATGAGCTCTGAGAGGGGAGATCCAGAAGGCAGAGACTACCTTCCAGCAAAAGTAAAGGAGAGCGGCGGCAGCCATGGCCGCAGTTATCGCTGCCAGGAGAAGGGACGCCATTTTAGCCTAGTATGAATAAGGTGGACAGCTTTAGCTTATTGAAGGGGGCGACAAGGCTGATTGGGAAAAAGCTTTGATTGATTGATTTGTTGGTTGGTTGTGTTTTGAGTTGTGAGATAGCTGAAGGGGAAGCAGAGGTTGGGGTATTTATAGAGAGAGAGATGGGATTTGGGGATTTTTCCAGAAATAACACTTTTTAAAAAAAAAATTCCAAAAATAGCACCTAACTCCGAAAAATTCCAAAAATAGCACCCTTTCTGAAAAACCGCTCCCTACCAGTGCGGTTTAAGCGAAAACCCCCACCATGCGATTTGGTTGCAGATCGCACCCCCAGGGTGTGATCTGTTTTTTTTTTTTTTTTTTGAAAAATCCTAACCTAGGTTGAAACTTCAAACGGACGTATCTTTGTGTTCGGGTATCCGATCGTCGCGAATTTTTTTTTGATTCCGCATAACTTTTTGAGATCTTGCAAGCCGAAGGTGGTTTGATCCTGCCTTCGTCCTAAAAAATGTCGTTTGCTACCCCGAACGAGCTTTTTTCCGATTTCTTCAAACTTTGGACAACCATAACTTTGTGCTCCAAAATCCAAACAACATGAATTTTTTTTTATTTCGCATTACTTTTAAGGACTACAATTTTTACTATAATGAATTTTCAAAACAGGAATTATTTTTGGATATACAGGATTTTGGGAATAGCTTACCTTCCCTTCTCAGCAATCCACGTACATTTTGAAATTGTGTCTATGATAAAAGTTGTAGTCCTTAAAAAGTTATGCGAAATAAAAAAAAATTCATGTTGTTTGGATTTTGGAGCACAAAGTTATGGTTGTCCAAAGTTTGACGAAATCGGAAAAAAGCTTGTTCGGGGTAGCGAACGACATTTTTTGGGATGAAGGCGGGACCAAACCACCTTTGGCTTGCAAGATCTCAAAAAGTTATGCGGAATCAAAAAAAATTTTGCGACGATTGGATACCTGAACACAAAGATACGTCCGTTTGAAGTTTCCACCTAGGTTAGGATTTTTCAAAAAAAAAAAAAAAAAGCAGATCGCACCCTGGGTGTGCAATCTGCAACCAAATCGCACCCTGGGGGTGCGGTCTGCAAAACCGCCCCCTGGGGGTGCGGTTTTCATCGAAAAACGCGCCCCTGGATGGCGGTTTTCGCCTAAACCGCACTGGTAGGGAGCGGTTTTTGGAAAAGGGTGCTATTTTGGGAATTTTTCGGACTTAGGTGCTATTTTAGGAATTTTTTTTTAAACAGTGCTATTTCTGAAAAAATCCCTGGGATTTGGATGGGCCTTTTGGGGGTGGGCCGAAAGGGGATCGAATAGAAAAAAAGGGTTCCTTTCAAGAATGTCGGAGGAGCATTTCATGGGCCGTTTACTTGTCATTCCATTTCTGTTAGCTACCACAACAGAAAACAAAATCAAAATGAAAACGAAGCTGACCATTTCCTGGAAAACAAAACCTGAAAAAACCTTGTTTAGCTGAGAATTTTGGTGAGTTCTGAAACTGAGTTCTGAAAAGAAATCCTGTTTAGTTGCTTCATTCTGTTTTCTGATTCTTGATTATCATACAACCCTAGCCATGATTATAATTTTTAATTCGAATTAAATAGTTTTTAAACTAATAAACACAATACAAGTACAACATCTTATATTAATTAAGTACTAGTACAACATAAAAATTCAAATAAGTCCAGCTTGAAAGTCATCCCACAACTTGTTTGCTATTCCATCTCGTCGTGCATCCATCGCTCGAGTTTGGCTTGAACTATGATTATATGCTTCTCGTTCTTGTCCTCCTTGCACTCCATTGGCATTCTCCCCCGTGCAATAATTTTGAGCACCTTCAAACAGAGTGTCGTCACCAGAGTGGATCCTAATAAAGTTATGTATAACACAACATGCAAGAACAATGTGTGCTTGTTTCTTGAGAGCGAAAGGAGGCATATGCTTCAAAATGGGAAATCTAGCCTTCAAAACTCCAAAACAACGCTCGATAACATTGCGTAGAGATGAATGATAATAGTTAAAAAGTTGTTTACGAGTCCTTGGTCCACCTCCACGATCGATATCTTGAAAATGACGTGCTTCTTTTGTCTTATATGGCGCTAGAAACCCAGGAATGTTTGCATATCCAGAATCAACAACATAATACTTACCTATAAGATATAAAATCAATTAGTCATATGAAATGTGTACTATAATTACTAAAATAAAGAGACAATCATTTCGTACCTCGCGGTGGCATGGGAAAGTTGTTAGATGGGTTGGAAACGGTTTCAGTAAGAATTCTTGCATCATTTGTTGTACCCTCCCATCCAGCCATCACAAAGGTAAAGAGCATATCGAAAGAACAAACAGCCATTACATTCTGAGTAGTAGTCGTCTTCCGTCCTCGATATGGAATCTGCTCACCACTCGGAACCACTGCGTCAATATGAACTCCGTCTATTGCTCCGATGCAATCCTGAAACAATGTGAGTAAGTGTCATAATTAAAGTACATTCGAATATTAATCCTCAATCATAAAGAGAATTGCTTACCTTGAAATATGGATCATGTTTTGAATCAATTATTCTTTCGGGAACAACTTCCAAATTTGGGGGAACAATGACCCTGTTTGCAAGTTTCACCACTGCTTTCAACACTAGATTAAAGTACTTTGAGATGGTTGCAGTAGAATGTTGAAACCGTTCTGCAAGGTCGCGGAAGTCATTTGCGTGACCTATAGTCTTGAGGAAGATTGCAACTTGTTCTACGACCATCACATTAGTTGTATCATTCAACCCACCATGTTGCTTCAATTCCTCACACAAAGCAAAGAAAATTTCTTTATCCATTCGGAGTGATTCATATATCCTAATCGGATGCCCACGGAGAAGTTCTTGAACCCAAGCATGTCCTGTTTGCACTGAGGTTCTACATGGCATCCTAATAGACTTAGATCGCTCATTCTCCAACAAAGCCACAAGCATTATGAATTTCAACTCTTCATCGGAATCGGAATCTGAATCTGAATCTAAATTCATAAGTTCTGCAATGCATAAGAACTTCATTAGAAATGGATAATAACCCAAATACAAGTGATATAACACTCAAACATTCAATTACAACTTAGTTCATAAGATTCTTACACTCAAACATAATATTATAAGTCATCAAACATCATGCTATTCATAAAACATCACCATAAGAACTCATCAAACACTCAACAAACAAATGTCACTGCAGTTCTCAACAAACAACCATAGTCACACTAAACTCAACAACCATTCTTTCCTTCTCCTCTCTGTCATACGCAAGAAAAGTCCTCTCTTCAGTGGACAATCATGTTGAACATCGAAAGCCTTCACAAATACATTAGCCTCCACCTCCATTTCATCTAATAAATTCATGCATTCAGTCATAATGTCAAGCTCTTTATCCTGCGAAGATACATCATGCACAGGTCCTCCAACCGAAGAGGCGGTCTCCTTGGCTTCACGCCTCTCACTCTTCCTTTTGGAGTCTTCAGCCATGCTGATTATGGCATTCTCCACTGCATTGGTAAAGCCAGATTTAGCTGCTTTTCTCTTCTTTCCTTTACCCTTCACTTTGGGCAACGTCTCCTTGGCACAACCAGAGACTCCACCCACATTTTCTTCACCATCAAGATCCACATAATTTGCTTTGCTAGGTCCACCACTACTATCTGAGACCTCGTGAGTAGAAGCAACAGCATTCGCACCAGAGGCAGTTGTATCACCAAATAATATGCACAGGTTTTCATACTCTGGACATCCATGCTTCCTAATAGTCCCCATCATCTTGTATCGCTGCAAATGCAACATTCTAATCAATTCCTCTTTCCTAAATACTACTTTCAATTCAATCGCAATGACTAAAAATGTCAATTACCTCGTTCCACACCTTCCACTGCTCATCAGAGGCAGCAATCCTCCCTGTTACAGAAGAGTAACTAATTCCCGTCTGGCTTATTAAGTCCTTGAATTCCCGGTGTTTCCTCCTCATCAAATTAAATTTATTCTTCAACTGATCTGGGGCATAGTCCTTGTTGAACTTTATCTTCAACCCATTTACAATGTTGGACCATCCCAATTTAGTGAAAGTTGTCGTATGTTTGTTCCCCTTCTTTACTTCCTCGAGCATCAAAGCAATAAAATACTCGACTACTTTATCAGGCCAAACCTCGGCTCCCTCAAGTATGACACAATCATTATTGTTTACGACATCAATAGCAGCCATCGCTTATCACGCTACAATTCAATACGAAATAATACGAAATAAGATATCACCAACAAATTGACATCAAACAAAATAAAAGAAGACATCATTTGCAATCAAAACAATAAAGCAACAAATCTGTCCATTGTTCACAAAACATTACCAAACCACTCCAATTCATCATCACAAGCAAGCATGGATTGGTCGCTGGCAAGGAGAGTAAGTACCTGGAATCGGCGGCTGGAGCTCTCTGTTGGAGGAATCGGCGGCTGGAATCGGCGCCGGCTGCTGCTTCTACTTCTTACGGGAGTGAGGGAGATGGCCGAAGTGGGCTGGCGGCGGGGCTGGAGGGGAGTGAGGGAGATGGCGGCGGTGGGCTGGCGGCGGGGCTGGAGGGGAGTGAGGGAGATGGCGGCAGTGGGCTGGCGGCGGGGCTGGAGGGGAGTGAGGGAGATGGCGGCGGTGGGCTGGCGGCGGGGCTGGAGGGGAGTGAAGGAGATGGCGGCGGTGGGCTGGCGGCGGGGCTGGAGGGGAGTGAAGGAGATGGCGGCGGTGGGCTGGCGGCGGGGCGGGAGGGGAGTGAGGGAGATGAGCGGCGGGGCTGGAGGGAGTGAGGGAGATGAGCGGAGGAAGTGGGCTGGAGGGAGAAGAGGAAGAGAGCGGCCGACCGAGTTTTAGTCTCTAGGGTTGATTGAAGAGGGCAAAACGGCAGCGTAGGAAGCAGGAGGAAAAAGGTTAAAAAAAATAGCGTTGTGGTGAATCGAACGCGGGCCAATTGGAATGGATTAGCGCGTTTTCTGCTGGGAAACGGGGCATAACCCGTGTCACTTGATTTCGGAAAACAGGTATAAATCGTTTTCCCAAAGCTTTCCCATTTGTAATAATTGAGTTTTTTCATGGAAAATGGAATGATCAAGTGAACACATTTAAATGTCATTTGTTTTCTGATTTTCATTTTTTAAACAGAAAACAGAAAATGAAATGGGAAGTGAACAGGGCATCAGGTTTGACCGCATGTTTACACGTAGCCTTTGATTTTGAACAATAGAGCAGAGCGAAAATACCTGTACTGTACATATATACTACTCTACTCTTTCCAATAATTCTCCTTCCTGCTCTGCTCTGGTCTACACTCTGACTGCAGCGTATTTCCCACTTTCTTTTCTTTGTCTTTTATTCCGGAAAATAATAATATCTATAAACTATAAATGCATAGAGCAGCTGGGAGTCGGATGGTGACTTGTTTCTGTTTATTCCCTCTAGCTACATAGTTTTATTCCTCTGTAACAAGTAGGGTGTTCAAACGGATTGGTTACCATGGTAATCATATTAACCGGTAGTATTCGGTTAATTTGGATAATTGATTTGGTTTGATTAATTTTTTTTCTTATTTGGCTTAGGTGGTTTGGTTTGGTTTCAACACTACTAACCAATGAATCCAATTAACCAATTAATGATACACCTAATATACAAAAGTATTTATACTTTCATGCAACCAACCAAACCAAACTTTCGTGATTCCCTATTTTATTTCCATGTGCACAACAAACCAAAACATTATGCGTCAAAAATTAAATGGGTCTGCCTATTTACTAAACCAAAACATTTTGGGCAGGTACTAGACTTTAGGATTACGTACAATACAATGATAGTCACCTCAAACTATGCATAGTTTAAGTATTTTGTAGGAGAGCTTTAACTGCCTTATGAGTGGTATGGGTATGTATTTAATATTTATGTTAAGGGTTTGTTGTAAGCTAACTATATTAGGTGCAGAGATGATGAATGATGTATTAACTCGAATGACGATGACAATCATGGTTATGTTATTTGGTTAATCTGATAATCCGATTAACCAAATCAATTAAACTTTGGTTTGGTTAATTTGGTTTTCGTGTTAATTTGGACGGTTTGGTTAAGACATTTTATTCCACGATTAATGAAATATAGACTTAATTGGTTTGGTTATTACCACGGTAACCATTTGAACACCCCTAGTACTAAGTGCTGGTACCTTTGTGTAGGACAGCGGCTCCTCTGTCCTAAGTGCTCGTTGAACATTTTTTTTTTTTTTTTGCAACATCGTTGAACAATTATTTAGTTCGACTTGTCTAATTTGCTCTAATTAAATTTCGAGAGCCGCGAATCTTACGGACTAAAATTTTGTTCATATGGTTCGAGAGACCTTTGCGTTTTAAGTTCTATAAGCGATGAAGTCAAATGTTAATTAATCTTACACCGGCCAAATGTTAAATATGTAACGCGGCCATTTATATGGATGAAGTATACAGTATACTATATCTGCCCTGAAAGATAGGGTTGGGAAAATTGATTCGATCGTGAAAAAAAAATAAATAAATAAAACACAGATCATATCACGTACAATTCACAAACCATATAAGATGGGATGATGGGGTCCATGGTAAATAAAATTACGTGTTTTTACATGCTGGCTGGGCCGGTATGTTTTAGATCGTGACAACTATTTTGCTAATTATACGTAAAATAACAACGTAAATCCTTCAAAATAAAAAATAAAAAAAATGTATCGTGTCAAATATCTTACGTTCTGTTCTAAGTGTGAGGTTTGCGGTCATGACTTAGGTAGCCAGAGCGTGAAGCGAGAGCGGGAGCGTGAGAGCGTGAGAGCGTTGATTTTAAAAGAATTCAATATTGAGAGCGTGAACAGAGCGTTAATATTATATTATTATAATAATATTTATAATATTTTAAACAAAATACTACTTTCCTATGATATATTATAATAAAATAAAACTAAGAAAAATCAAAAAATATGATCACGAATGTACTTCTCTTCTTTTTTTGTAGAATTTCTTTCTTCCACTACTCAAATATATTTTTATTTCTTTTGTCTTTCTTGAAATTCAATTGAAAACTTAGAAATAATTAACTTTCGAATTGCATAATTGGAAAATTGTAAAAATTGAAAAGGGAAAGACAAGACTCTGGGAATGAAGGAAATATCTAATGGGGAAAAAAATGAAGGAAACATCCTTCTTGGTCGTATGCAGCTCACGGCTTTTCATATGGGCTTAGCACTTCTAAAGCCCACAAGTAAATAGCAAACCCAATGAAACAAAACGAGACACAGAATTAACCTCTGTCTTCTTCGCCTAGAACCTAGAAAACAGAGACAACTTCAATTACCCATCGCCCTGGATCTCCCACCGCCGCTGCATCTCTCTAACACCATTATTCCCTTTCATAGTCGTAGCCACATCGGCGTAAATCATAATCGCGACGACATTCCTTTTGTGGAGCCCAAGGGACTCCAGGAATCGGTCATATAAGCTTCATCTCTGTTTCCGAGAACACCAAAACAGAGCAGCGGCAAAGAAAACCCGAGGAAATCAGAACAGGCAGGAACGTGTTTCGTTTAATACGCCGTCTGTCTGACATAAACCTAACTATCGTCGACGGTCACTGTCCCCCGCCACCTCATATATGTAGTGCTCCAAGGAATCGCGCTCGCCGAAATCAAAGTCGTGCTCCAAATATAAATAACTCGCGACTTCTTCGCGAATTTCCCCAAAAACGCGTTTCGCCGCCCTAGAGCGGGATCGTGGGAGTTGTACCCGCGAATTGGGTGACCTAAGTCATGTCTATAATAGAATTGAAAATGTGGACAAGAAGTGGGTGTCTAAAATCAAATCTGTTGGTGCCAGTGGCGGAGCCACGTTGCTTGATGTGGGGTCAGTGGACCCCACTTGGTAAAGAAGCTCACGTTATAAAAAAGGAATACCAGGGCAGGGGACTAGGGGATTCAAGCTTTGGACCCCAACTCTCCATAGAGATAGCTAAACCGCCAGGACTTCCTAGTTCTTTGTAATCTTTGGACCCCACCAAGGCATTTAGCTGGCTACGCCAATGGTTGGTGCTTAGGTAGATCAGTCTGAAGTTGTTCCACCTGTGTTGGAAGCTGTAAGTAAGGGTAAAGAGAAGGTTACTGCTGAACCGGAGGTTGAGAATGAACTCTTGGAGGCTTCGGTGGAGGAAGGGCAAACTTCTTGCTTTTTGGTTACTACTGAAGGTGATTCTAGGGACCAGGCTGTGAGATTTGTTGATGTTGTGAAGGGATCGGCAGTTGGGGTAGTTCTCCTATAGCCTTGGAGAATTCTTCACCAAGCTCTGGGAGACAAGCTCCTTTGGAGTTTGGAGGAACCTCCTGATACTCAGAATCCATGGATCACTGTGGGTCACAGAAAGAAGACACCTACTGCTCCCATTTCCAAGAGAGGGGGCAGGGGAGGTAAGCATAAATGAAGTTCATATCATGGAATACCCGGGGATTTAAAGACCCGGATAAAAATAAAGCTGTGCAGCTACTAGTAAATAAATATAGTATAGATATTATTGCATTATTAGAACCAAGAGTTAAAGTTGATAAAGCTGAGGAACTAGTGAATAAGCGTCTTCCAGGTTGGGAGAAGAGAATTGTTGGCAATGATGATGGATTGAGTAAAATTGGGCTGATTTGGAGATCTGATGTGCATATGAGGGTCCTTCATAGTAATAATCAGTTCATTCATGCTATGATTTGTTCTGGTTTGCCTTTCTTTGTTACTGTGGTTTATGCCTCTAATGAGGAAGCAGAGAGAAGAGTTCTTTATAGTAACCTGGGGGCTATTCAGGTTCAATATGAACCTTGGGTTATATTGGGGGATTTCAATGCTATAAGGGATGTGAACGAGGCCTCCAACTCCCTTGGAGTTAGCTCCAGTATGGTGGATTTCAGGAAATGGCAGTTTGACATTGAGATTGTAGAGCACAAGTCTTCTGGACCATGGTTCACATGGATCAATAAGCAGTCTGATATCCAATTGCGAGGAGGCTGGATATAGCTTTTATAAACTATAAATGGTTGGATGTTTTTGGTTCTAGCACAGTGGATATTTTGAATCCTGCAGTATCTGATCATTGTCCAGTGTTTGTTAACACTGATAGTTCTATAAAATCTCTCCCTAAACCTTTTAAGTTTTTTAAATTTTGGATGAAAAATGAGATGTACTGGGATCTGGTGAAGGAGGCTTATAGCTCAGAGGTTGTAGGTTCACCTATGGAACGAGTAAGTAGGAAGCTAAAAATATTGAAAGGGTTGCTCAAGCAACTGAATAGAAGTGAATATTCTGATCTTCATGAGAGGGTAAAGCTCAAGGAGCAGGAGTTGATTGTAGCTCAGGCCAGTGCATTCCAAAATCCCTCAGCTGAAGCATTCCAGGAAGAGGCTCGGTTATTTGCTGATGTCAAAACATTAAGGGAAGCTGAAGAATCCTTTTTAAGGCAGAAATCTAGGGAAGTTTGGTTGAAGGTGGGAGACTCAAATTCAGGGTATTTCCACAGGTCAATAAAAATCAGAATAAAAGAAATATGATAAGATCTCTGATAAATGATGAGGGAGTTCGAGTAACAGATACAGATAGCATGTACAAGATTGCTGAATTGTTCTATAAAAGGTTGCTGGGGCAGAAGGACTCACAGGTTGAGGCGAGTAGTATTGAGGAAATGCGAGATCTCCTGCAGTTTAAAGTTGACGAGGTGCAACAAGCTGCTTTAATTCGGCCTGTATTGGAGGATGAAGTAAAGAACACCCTGTTTTGATTCAAAGGGGATAAAAGCCTGGGGCCAGATGGATTTCCAGCTTGTTTTTTTCCAAACAA